TCCCATCACATCTCCGGGCTGAAATAATTAATCTTTTTTAATTACCTTTACTAATTTCTATATGCACATCATTTCACAATAGATCATGCATATTCATTTTGTTGATTTTGCATTACACTTACAGCTAGCTACACTTATACTCAGCTTTTGTCAGAAAGTACAGAAAGAACTCTTGGGTCACTCTATCCTGTCTGCTTCAAGGTTCAAAGAGTCTTTCTTATCTCTTATCTTTCTAGTGTAGAAATTTGCATTTTTTTCTCTCTAGCTAAGGCAGTTTTGCTAGTGCTGCAGTTACCAGACTAAACAGCGTATTTCACTTATGTTAGCAAGCTCAAAGTAGCACATTTCACCTAAATCCAAACAGATTTCTACATTATTAAATTTTCACTATTTCTCAGGGTTCCTCCCATGGATGCCTACATAGCAACCAAGGCCAGACAAAATTAAGAGAATAAAAAGTGGTTATATTTATGGAAGGGCCTTCAGGTACATTTTGAAGGGGCTACACCCAAAAATTGACAGTTGTCACACATTTGTAAGTTTGGTCCATTTGCATACTGGGGGTTAATGTTGTAATTACAGCTTCAGGTAATGAAGTAATTTACCCCAAGTTTGCTCCCTCCCCAACTCACTTTTGTTCAAATCTCTGGAGGCCTGAGGCAGTGAGGTGTCCTTGATTGCCAGGCCTGGAGAGGAATTGCTGTGTCTGCCCAAAATGGGGAAGCAGCAGCTCAGAGTCGCACACTAAAGAATTACAGAATTACGAATACATGGAAAATAGAAAAATTTAAGGCATCGCCACCTTCACCTTCGGGCCGGGGACGCCTGAGGGATCTCAGAGCAGCGTTTCCCCAGCATGAGCGTGGCCGTGTCCCGGCAGGGTTGATCAGCCCCGAGGGTCTGGCCGTGGACCACCTGCGCCGGGCCATGTTCTGGACGGACAGCGGGCTGGACAGGATCGAGCGGGCCCGGCTGGACGGCTCCGAGCGCCGCGTGCTCTTCCACAGCGAGCTCGTCAACCCCCGCGCCATCGCCGTCGACCCCGTCCGAGGGTGAGCACCAAAACCCCGCCGGGATTTCGGGTTTGGGCTTTGGCAGGTGCAGAACTCAGCCCCGTCCTCTAGGAGGGATTGGCTCTGCTCCCCAGCCCCTCTTGTCGCAATCTGTGCTATTGATGATTCTGAGATTGTAAAAGTCTCTGTCTGTCAGCCCCCTGCCAAAGCAGAAGCCATAATTGGTCTGTGCTGTTTCCAGGTTGTTTATTCTGTTTATCTCTCACATGTTCTGCTGCCCTGCCCAGCTCTGTCCTGCAGGGCAGCGTGTGGGGCTCTGCCCTCAGTGGGATGTGACAAACATTAAATACCAGAAACTCCCTGGGCTGCATTTACAAGAACGTGCCAATGTCTGTCACCTACGTTGGACAGTGTGTCCCCAGCCTGAACCAACAGAAAAATGCCAACACCACAGTGAGACATGGAGGGCATGAAGAAGGAGAAAAAGGACAAGGCACACCCAATTTCCTCCAGCTTGTCCCCTTTGGACCCCTCATCTAGAATCCTAAAATTTTACTTTTGCACCCGTGCCACACTTAATTATTCCTTATATCAAACCCTCAGAGCTGGTAATTGATCCTGTAAGATTGAAAACTCTTTTCCATGGACAGAGATCACAGCCAGTGTCTCTGGGGGCTCTGTCCAGGGGGGTTCCTGACCCCTGCCAGGGTCCCAGACCTGCCAGGGCAGCCAGAGGGAAGCTCTGGACTCCCACACCTCTTTTTATTGAATAATTGAGATTTGGCTCAAAGTGCTGTTCCAGTATCAGGATGTAGATAATTTTGAAAAGCTGTGCCTCCAGGGTGCTGTTGGGATACAAAATGTTCTGCTCCTCAGACTCGCCCTTGTTGAGGAGCTGCTGCCTGCAGGAGTTTGGGCCATAAACATCTCTAATATTGTTCTGCTTTGCTCCGAGAGGTTTTCTTGCTAATCAAATAAAGATGCTTCAGGCACTGATAAGGGAAAAACCAGGCCCTGCTCCTGGCAAGAAGCAGGATCATCTCCCACCACTCCTTACTGTTGTGTGCCCTGTTTGTGCATTATTTCCCAAGCAACCTTTACTGGACGGACTGGAATCGTGAAGCTCCCAAAATCGAAACTTCCACTGTCAATGGAGACAACAGGAGGGTTCTGGTGCACTCAGACATTGGTTTGCCCAATGGCCTGACTTTTGACCCCTTCTCCAAGCTGCTGTGCTGGGCAGATGCAGGTAATGTCCCCAAGGATGGGTCAGAGAAGGTCACACTGAGGGAAAATCCTGGATGTCTTCAGCCCAGTGCTACCTCTGGGCTCCAGTGTTGCACCAGCCGAGGTTTAGATTGGATTTTAGGAAATATTTCTTCATGGAAAATGTTGTTGCTCAGGGCAGTGCTGGAGTCCTTGTCCCTGGAGGGATTTAAAAGCCATGTGGATGTGGCATGTGGGGACATGGAGTGGCCTTGGCAGTGCTGGGAATGGCTGGGCTTGGGCTCGGGGAGTTTTCCCAACCATGAATTTTACAATCCTACATTTTTAGGCTGAAAAGCTGTTTCAAAATGTAATAAATCAGGAAAATGTTCTTCCCCCAGAGGTGCTGGCACTGCCCAGGCTCCCCAGGGAATGGGCACAGCCCTGAAGCTGTCAGAGCTCCAGGAGCTCCCTGGGGTGCTCAGGGTGGGATTGTTGGGGTGTCCCGTGATCCTTGTGAGTCTGAAATACAGGGAACATCTTTGGTGTGGCATTTCCAGCGGGATATGGGGAATATTTTGTGTCGGAACAGGCACCAAGCACCTGGAATGCACATTCCCAGACGGCAGCGGCCGGCGCGTCATCCAGAGCAACCTCAACTACCCCTTCAGCATCGTCAGCTACGCCAACCACTTCTACCACACGGACTGGAGACGGTGAGCAGGGAGAAAAAAACCAACCCCTGCATGCCTGGGAATGCTCAGCTCCCTTCCCCGAGAGGAATCCCAGCCTGCTCCCAAATCCTGGAGCCTCCCCAGAGCTCTCCTGGGTCTCTGAGCGCGGCTTCAGCAGCGACCGCTTGTAAATCTCAGCACGGAGTTGTTTAGACACAAGCCCGGCTCCCTGGGAGGGATAGAAACAGTGGTTTGGGGTTTTTAAAATTTTTTTTAAATTTAAACTTGGCTCAAGCCTCTGGATGTAGATGAGGCCCAAGGAAAGATCCTGTCCTCAGGCATTCCCTTTGCCCGAGCATCAGGAACTCGCGTCTCGTCCCGCTCCAGCTGGAAGCTCTCACAGCTCCCATCCAGGCTGAGGTTACAGCAAACACTTCAGGGCTTGCCACGCTCGGAGGAGACTCTCAGGGAGATCATCTCTCCTTTGCTGTGGCTGCATCAGCACAGAGAAATGCACTGGCTGAGCTGGAGGAGGATTTGACATGGAACATTTCTTTCCACTTGTCCTGCAGGTGTTCAGACCAAGCTTGTTGTTAAACACACATAAGTAGGGGGGAAAAAACCCAGTTTTGTAGGTGAATAAAACCCAGTTTTGTAGGTGAATAAAACACTTTTTCCTTTTTATTTTCACCAGGGATGGGGTGATAGCTGTAAATAAAGAAACTGGCTCCTTCACTGATGAGTATCTTCCAGAGCAGCGATCCCACCTCTATGGAATCACAGCAGTTTATCCCTACTGCCCTGGAGGTAAAAGAAAAACCCACCCAAACCCCATCACCCTGCTGGGTGCCTGACACGCTAAAAAAAAAAACCTCAATTTCTCCCCACAGCCAGGAAATAGCAACTCCATTTTTGAGGAAACAAGGATCTTTGCACCCAGAGGAATTTCAGACCCAGAGAACTGTCACTGCATACAAGGGGGGAGAAGTCCCTCACCAAGGCCAATGACGTGCCCTGCTTTCCTGCAAAAGATTTTCAAGTATTTTTTATAGTTATACCTCAAGACTTTACTACTGTATTTTTTTACCAAGTGGAAAATGTTGAGATATCACCAAAAAAAAAAAAAAAAAAGGTCCTGGGAAGCTCAAGCCATGACTCAAACTCTTAAATGCAAGATGTAAAATGTAGCTTTTTTTTTTTACTCCAATGTTTTATTTTATTGGAAGAAGAAGAATGGATTCATTTTTCATAGTTTTGACAATCTGACCAAGAGGTCTTTTTATCCAAAAAGAAGAATTAAGTGCCTATGGGAAGCTGTGGATGCAGTAAATTGCTGGGTCTAAATAACAAACAGCCCTGAAGACAGAGACTGTGTGTGCTCCAAAATCCTGCAGAACAGGGATGGGATGTGGCACAAGCATTGAAGATTTTCCAGAGGATGATTCCGTGTTTTCACCACTGCCTCCATGCATGTCTTTTAGTATTTATATTAGAAGAATATGCTAGAATTGATCTGTTCATGCTTGTTGGGTCTTCCAAGTGCCTTCCTAGACCTACCCAGTGTAGACCAATACATGTTCAGAAATACCAGTTACGTTGTAATGCTTCACTTTTTCTAGGTTACTTCAATAATTGAATAAAAAAAGGTTGGTTTAAGTTTCCCTCTGGATTCGGTTTTTCACTATTTCAGTTCTAGGGGAATATTTCAGTGTGGGGAAGCAGCGAGCAAGCTGTCAGGAAAAGATTTTATGTAACAATCCCATCAACACAAAGCCAAACACAATGAAAAAGACACACACACACACACACAAAAAAAAAGTCCTATTTGCCAACTCAGAGCTCATCAGAACAATCTGTTTCCCTCGATGTCATTTATTTAAAGAAAAATCTGGTAAGTCATCAGAAGTCAGAATCCAATTTCCTGTTTTCTTTCCCAAACAGGCAAATTAATCTCGTTTCGAGCCGCGTGCCAGAGAGGAGCCGCTCCTAATTGCACCAAGCACACCCGGGGGGGCTGGGAGCTCTTCTCTCTTCATCTCCCCACCTTCCCCAGTCTGTGGTCAGTCTTGGGGTCAGCAATGATGGCCTGCACGGCCACGATGGCCTCGTTGATTTTGGTCTGCAGCTCCCGCAGCTCCTCGATGTGCAGCAGGCGCAGGATTTGGGCAGCTTCGTTGATGACAGCATCTGGGGAGGGGCACGGAGAGGAACTGCAGTTAGCCACGGGTTTATCCATCATTTTCAGCTCCCAGGAGGGATTTAAGGAAGTTTTAGCACCCTGAATGTTGTGCCTGCTGGTGGTTTCCAGGATGGGAACAGAGGACGACGTTCCCGGCTGCTGGACAGGGATGGGGTGGCCTCCAAACCTTCCCCACCACCCTGCAGCCCCAGGGAATGAGGGAACCACAGAAATTATTTTAATAGTAAAAAAACCACAAAAAACAAGCCCAAAATACACATTAAACACAAACTGGTGGCTGCAACTCATTTGCAAAAAGTGGGTTTTTTCTATGGCCATGATAGTAAAATCCACGTTCAACTGCAATCTTAAAAATCCATCTCCGCTGTTAAAAGTGGTGATCCATGCTGCCTTGGGATGGAAATGCTGCCTTGGGATGGAAATGCTGCCTTGGGAAGGAAATGCTGCCTTGGGAAGGAAATCCTGATGCCAAACTAAACCAAATCAAACAAAAAAAAATCCCCCCCCCAAAAAAAACAACAAAAAAACCCCAAACCCGCAAGAAAACAAAAAGAAACTGAAAAAACTCAAAGCACAACACCCCAAAAAACCTTCCATAAGGACAAAAAAATTTAACTTGCAACCCCTAAAAAGCTTAAATTAATTAAAAAATAGAATATACAAATAAAAAACATCATAAAGGTATACTTCTATAATTAGAAATATATATATACATTATATAAATAAAAATAGATCTTAATAAAACAATAAACATTTATAACAAAAATATAATCATACAAAATAAATAAAAACTTAAATATAATAAAAATATAACAATATATATTTATATAAAATAACGTATTAATTTAAAATGTCCACATTACAGTGAAAATAAATAAAAATAATCCATTAAAAACACAAAAGACTGGGTTGGGCTGGAAGGACCTTAAGGATCATCTCATTCCAACCTCCCACTGCAAGGCTGGTGTGAAACATTCCAAACATTGATTTAAATGACAAGGAGCAGAAGTGAAGCCTGTGGAGCCCCAGGTCACCTGGGTGGCTGTTCCTTATCAATAATCCATCAAGTTTATCAATAATCCATCAGGTTTATCAGTGATCCATCAGGTTTATCAATCAATAATCCACCAGGCTGAGCTGCCTGGATGGGATTTCAGGAAAGCAGCACAGCTGTCCTCTGCTGGTAGCAGCAGGATTTACAAACAGCAGGATGCATTCCTTGGGCTGCATTAAAAGTTGGGATTTAAACAAGATTCCAACCAGACTGGATTTAGGCTTTGCTGTTCCAAACCCAAAGTGCTCAGGGATGCTCATAAATAACCAGCTGGGAGGGAGGAATTCTTTCCACTGCAGGGTTTTTTACTGTCCACATCAGCTCTGCATTTGACAGTAATAACTCTGTCAAAGGCAAACATTCCCATTTAAAAGTCACATTAAGAGCAGTGCTCACCTCCCGTGTCAAATCCAAGAATGTGCTTTTCCAGAGCAACAGGCAGACCCTGGAAAAGGGGAAAAAAAAAACTGTTAAAAATGTCATTTTACATGTCTGGTAAATAAAATCAAGTACAACAGCAGCTAACTAGGGGAGAAAATAGAGGTTTTGCTTAGACAAAAATGTGTGAAAAGCTTGAAAAGTTGATTCAACAACTCCCTCTGTGTCCTGAGACACCAAACCCGGAGGATTATTACAGAAAAATCTTCCTGCTCAAGAATCCCTCAGTGGATACACAGTGCCTGCATTCAATCCTTAAAAGGCCAACAGCAGGACTGGGAGCCATCACCCAAGGCAGCAGCTTCCCAGGAAAACAAAACTGGGCTTTCTTAGAAACTCCTGCCTTTCAACAGCTGCCAGGCTTTGAGCAGGGGCTGACTGCAAAGAGCTGCAGAAATTCTCTGTAATCAAGTTTTACTGTGCTCACAATATCCCTGGGAGCATCTGCCTCAAGTGTTAAGCTTAGGAATAAAGCAAAATATTCCATTTTCTCTATGAAAACACTCCAAGGCAAAATTTATTAGTGGTCATTTCTAAGCGTTGCTCAGTTTCCTTTGCCCTGTCCAGCTGCAGAGGAATGGTCACACTAAATCATTACTCAGGGAGCTTCAACATGCACTTAAAATTAAACATTCCAAACCCCAGATTTTGCTTTTATTACCCTCAGTAAGTTTTTTCAACATTTGCCAAAAGCCTTGCATCTTGCACAACAAAAACATCAGAGTTCAATACTGTTAATTTCTGCAGGGATGGGGCTGTAAAACTTTTTTTTAAAGACAGTGAAAATTTACTTTAAAGGCTTTTATACGCATGGGAAAAAAAAAAGAATCTGAGCTGATCAAAATACACATTAAACACAAACTGTTGGCTGCAACTCATTTGCAAAAAGTGGGGTTTTTCCATGGCCTTTATAGTAAAATCCACATTCAACTGCAATCTTAAAAATCCATCTCCACTGTTGAAACTGGTGATCAAAATGCCACTAAAACCACTTCAGAAAGATTCCAGAAATATCAGACTTCCTATATGGGCTTTTTTTAAAGAACTGAGCTTTACACTTAAGGTCCTTGCCAGCCTGGGGTGTTTCTGAGGAAAAATTGTGATTTTTTTCTCTTTTTTTCCCCCCCCCGGTTCTTTGTGGAAGAATTGCCCAAGGTTCCCCCAGTGCCACCTGGCAGCAGGAAATTCCTTACCCTCCCTTCTTCCCACACTCCCTGAGTCTGATCCTTTTTGGGAAGCTGCCTTTGGAATCCCCTCAGCCC